AAAAAAAATAGACACAATTTACAAATATGCTAAATAAAATATCACAATAATGTGTATGCCAAACGAATGGAGTTTAGTAGGATTTATTTCGAAAAATTTCTTTAAGAGGGTTGCCACCCGTTAAAAAAGTTGAAATGAATTTAGTTAAGTTATACGAAATATTTTAATATGGGTATCAAACAAGAGAGCTGTATCTATTTCGAAAATATTTTTGAAGAAGGTTGCCACCAATTTTGAAATTCGAAATCAATTTAGTTTACAGGTTAAACCAAATATTTTGATATGGGTATCAAACGAGAAAGAAAGTTTTATTTTGAGAATATTTTCGAAGAGGGTTGCCACCTATTAAAAAAGGTGAAATCAGTGCAATCAACATATTAAACGAAATATTTTGATACGGGTGTCAAAGGAGAAAAGTTTAAGAATGTTTTATTTTGAAAATATTTTTGAAGGGGGCTGCCACCTAATTAAAAAAGGTAAAATCAGTTCAATCAAAGTTCAATTCAAGTTAAATGAAATATTTTAATATGGGTATCAAACTAGAGAGGTCAAAGTGTAAAATATGTTGATGTGAATATCAAACGAGACACATTAAAAAAAGCTGTATCTATTTCGAAAATATTTTTGACGAGGGTTGCCAACAGATTACTAATTAAAAATCAATTTAATTGATAAGTTAAATGAAATTCCATTATGGTTATAAATGTGAAAATTTGTGAGTGACTGTATATGTTTGTTACTCTTTCTTTGTTTGCTTAAAAAATTAAAAAATATAAGTACAACGATATTACACATACAATAAGGATGCAAGGCGAATGAGATTAAAAAAGATTTAAATATTACGAAAATATTTTAAACTACTTATCTAAAAAGTTAAGTTCAATTTTATTAATAAGCATATTATATACGGCCAACGAATGAGGTTTAAGAAGGCTTTATTTTGAAAATATTTTGAAGATGGTTGCCACCTATTTAAAAAAACAAAATCCATTTCTCATAAATAAAGTATTACTCTTTCCTGCAGGGCATTTTAAAACCTAAATATTTACATATGTACATACATACGTGCATGTAAATTTGTTTGCATGTTTATATGCGATTTGTCCTAAAACAGACAGCCATCTAAGAACAAAAGAATGAGTTGGCGCCATTGTTAGTGCCTTCGAACTTCCTGATGTAAGAAAATTCCATTGTGAATTGGGTGTGCGCATGCATTAAATATATTTTGGGTTACAAGAAGAATTCGGAATCTACAGAAATGATAGTGCATAGATGAGCATAAATGCTCATACAAAATAAGAGTGCCTTTTGTTTGAACGTCTAGTGGTAAGGAAAAGAAATTGCGCTAAATAACGATTGAGTACGAGACAACACTCTTGGATTAAATTCTTTGAGAAAATTCCAAGAAAATAGTTTTTTGTGGACTAAAATAATTTATTAAATATTTATTTAAGATAACTAATTAAATTGTAAGTTGCAGAAAGTAGAAATTTTCTTACTTACAAATAAATTTTAATATCACTTGAAATTTGTAATCAAAATTCCAAAGCTACATGCTTCTCATTCCATATTCAAATACATTTTACTTCCGTTTTTCTCTTTTCGTACAATTTTGTGTTAATGCTTTCTGGCATTCAACTTGTTATTTGCAAAATATGTTAAGGAACTGTTTCAAACCAAAAAAAAAAAGAAAAATTAAAGTAAGTTCAACTTAAATGAAGCAGACATAAGAGAAATGGATTTATATTATATGGAATGTTTGCACTGGGGTTGCAGGGTTTTTTGTACCAGTTACCAATTTCGAAAAAAACCGGGGTTTTAGTAACGGTTACCAATTTCATAAAAAGCGGAGTGTGTTGCTGAACATGGTTTTTTAAATGTATAAAGAACAAAAACAAATTTAACAATTTATTGGTTTTTTTCATATTAAACATCGAACCATTAGACCATTAGAACCATTAGAAGTTTCTAAAAAATTTCTCTACACTGAAAAGTTGACTTATGGCATTTTTTCTACATGAAAAATGTTGCCTTTTAATTAACCTCTCCTTAGCATTTGTGCATTGAGGGCACTGAGAAGCCAACATTTTTCGGTAAGTAAGAAAACGCCATTAATGAGTTACACAGTCTCTGGAGAGTCATAACTATCTGCTAACTATGGAAGGAGCAAGCGGACAGAAATACAGTATTTCGAAGATTCACCGCGACATGCTAAAGCTGTGTCAATGGCGCAACAATGGCTCCATATGAAAAATATCGAAGTAAAATACTAATTATTTGTTTTTAATTAAAAGAGTGAGACGGAACATTCCACTTATCTAAAAATTGGTAACCGGTAATAAAAAACCGGGGTTTTCACAATTGGTAACCGGTACAAAAAAGTCGAGGTTTTCGATATCGGTGGCCGGTACAAAAAAACGATTTAATTTTGGAAATCACCGTAAAGTAATCCTTGTAGGATTAAAGTTGCAACAAATTACGACTACTTCGTAATGTCTTATGCATTGCGGCTCGGGTGCTCCATCTTAAAATACTTTATAATTAAAAGACTTAAAATGTTTATGAACGCCAATTATTTACTGTGTATTAAACTTTCCCGACATCGCATAGGCTGCTCGGTGACGTTGCCATGTGTAAATTTAGGATCCCCGAAGATTGGTTATGAAGAATTACGTTGAGAAGGATCGCTAGGAACGGTTCAAGACAAAAAGAGGATCTGGACAAATTTCTTTCAATGTGGTGTTGTTTCATTAAAATCATTATCCTCAACAAAAGGGCAGTCAGTCTGACTTTCTATTGCTTAGAGGAGGCAAAGTTTAGCGGAGGTCGAATATAAGTTAAAGTAACTCCAGCAAAAACCAACATATAGCATACGTTAGATTACGTTTGGTTAAGTATCGCGTAAGTCTAAATAAATAAGTGCCAAGAGCGAAGGGTCACAGGCGAAGGGCTCCTCCGGGCTACCTAAAAGGTGCGATCTTAGGTGTCTAAAACGCAGTCTTGGAAAAGCTGGACAGCTTAAAAGGCGATGATTCCAACTTTATATACCCATCAGAATTGGGTTTAAGGACATCCCCAGACCGCATCCGGCCAAACCTCGGTTAGAAAGACCTGTCCAGGTCTCCGCCCTGCGTACGCTGTGTTTATCTCACTGTAGCCCACATGTAGCCAAAGGTACTCCCACTGCTCATCGGCCACGCAGTTTCCTGCGATATCACTGTCGTCTGGCACCCAAATCAGCACCTAATGTCAGCTCAGCGAGCGCAGGACGAAAACCAGGACATACGCAATTGCAAGGTCCTTCTGGCCGAGGATGGACCAGAGAGGCCGAAGACACTCCTCGCACTTACAAATCCACAGCTCTCAGCCTTGGTGGTGGTTTCAAAGGGTCACACTCCAATCGGTATTCGCGCAAGACGACTGAACATATTACCTGATCCCGTGTGTCCCAGTTGTTTGGAAAATGATGCCTAGCGTTCGCGAGACTGAGGTTAAAATACTTAGAGATTAGCCGAATTCGTAATTACATAATCGGCTCGAGACATTTTATCTGGGACTGCCACATAAGTTAACCTCACGATCGTTTTTGAGGCGGTCTCGGATGATCTGCCCCTGACATTCGACCAATAGGAATCCTTTTCCTAATATCCTCCCCTGGATTGCAAGCAAAAGAGAAAGGAGACTGATTTGCTTGAGGATGCTGGAGAGAGATGTGAGAGCTGTTGCCAACCTTTTGTATAAACGTCAGCCTGACCACTTTTCTCTCCCTGGGGATATTATTAAACAAGTGACTGGCAAGAGTTTTTGCTCGACGTCTAACGGGTGTATGCCGCATGAGAAAAAGTCAATGTTTTCGAGTTCATAAACATTTAATATGACTTTTTCGTAAATATTTATAACACGCATTCGTATTTCTTGTATAGAATTACTGTAGGGCTGCAAGACTGTATAATTTAAGTCCGTGCTTTCTAATCGCAAGCCAGAAGTCAGCTAAAAAAACATTACACAATATGGGCGGGAGAGAAAAGTGTATGTATACAGACTTAAGTATGTGTAAGTATGCAAGTACAATGAAAAAAGGATAAGGAGGAGCAATGAGGGATATCCATTACACGCTGCGAACTATCTGTTACAGAAATCACAAGGCAGTTCCTTCAACCGAATAAGTGCAAAATGAGATTTAAGGGCAAATAGTAAAGGAAGAAAAAATAAAAATAAATGCACATGAAAGAAAGGCGCCTAAGAGTGAGAGCTGCTTTCAGAGCGAACTGTTAAGGACAAGGAAATGTAAAGGAAATGCGTTAACACAACGAGCGTGATGGTCGGGTTGAAAAGCGAGATGCAGAGCAGGGGTGAGAGGGAAGCAAAAGAAGCAAGGGTGCAAGGAGAGCGAGAGGAGCAAGTAGAGTAAGGGGAGTAACGGTAGCAAGGAGAGTAAGGGGAGCACGGAAAAGAGAAAATTATTTAATCCTATTTGAGAATGTATACATACACAGCTTTTTCCGCTGCTTACCTCACCACGCACACACGCACATGCCGTTCGAGGGCAAGTTTTCAAATAAAGGATACTTACAGCCAAAAAGGGAGAAAAGTGAAAAAGTTTTGTAGGAAAATTATCAAATTTAAATTAAAATATGGAAAAAAACGAGCGGCATGCATTTATAGGAAAATATCAAATTTTTTTTAGAGTAATTTTAAATTTCAGGTTTAACCAGTGGAAAAAGGGTTACACATGCTGTGCTGTTTACAGCTTGTAAAAGTAGGGCGCTGCTTTGCCACAAAAAAAGCTTAAACGAAAATTCAACATTATATAACATTAGCGTTCATATACATACATACATATGTACGCAAATTGAATATACGCTGTGTGTTGTATAATACTCGTATATCCAACAACGTCGCGGCCATTGACTTACCTTGCTGTACGGCCAAGAGTAGCACCATAACGCTAGCTAGAATTGTTGACTGCATTTTGATTTAATTTAAATTTTTATTTATATTTCTATATATTTTCGCGCTGATACCACACACTCTATTTTCGTTTTGCAAATTTCGATACGTTTTTATATACTTTTTCTTCCTTTAAAACTTTCGGTTGGTCAACACTACTTTAGGCGACTTCACAGCTAACTCACTCGGCCACTCTATACAAAATTGTAAATCAATAATTTTGGCAGTAATTTTTGCACTCTATACTTGCTTACGAAATATTTATTTCGACAAATTTTCGGACACACACCAATTGCAATTTTTGAATTTCCTTGCTTTCTTTATTTTTTGGTTGTATTTTTTTATTTTTTATTTTTTGGTATACCACCAGCAAATCTCTAATCAGACCGACTCAATCAACCGCAAGGCTGCTGTATGAATGGTGGCACGTTTGGCGTTCGTAGCATGCGTTCGAGGTAAAGCGCGATGCGAAATGAATGTGTGCGATGCGTCAAAGACCTGAGGAGCCGTCGTCGAGTCGTCGAGTCGTCGAGCCGCCACCGAGTTGTGTTTTTATCTATGCACTTGGTTCAGTTGAGTCGATTCGCCGCGACGAGTTGCAGAGTTTGTGGCTTGGCCGATGTTCTAGCTGAGTAGCTGAGTAGCTGGCTGGTTTTCGCACACCCTCAGAAATTGGGGTAAGATGGAAGAAGCAGAGCAAGAAGTGCCCAATGAATATACACACACACACACACAAATTCGCTTAGAAAGAAAACGTTTATTTGTTGTTATTTAGAAAATTTACTAGCAGCAGCCCTCTCCACTAACTAACATCGCGTCTTTGACGATAAAGTCGCGCACTCGTCTGTGTACTCGTTCCTACTGCGACTCGGCGCTCCAGAAAACCGTATCTAATGTTTGGCGACATACCAACACTTGAACTGATAAAATGATACTAGTAAAATAACACAAAGAAAAACTATAACAATAGCGTGCTCGTGTGCTCGTTCGTTACGAATGCTCGCAACTTTACAACCCCCCAGAGTAAAGCGCCAAGTGGAGCTTTGTAGAGCGGAAAGCTCGCATTTCATATGAGTACGCGATATGGTTTGACATGAAACGGCCAGTTTGTATGACTGCTTTTGACACTTATTTACAGACATACATATGTATTGAGTTATATACATTCACGCACACATAAATGCAAGGCAATTATTTACTCGTACGTAATTATTTACTCTATGGCATAGCATTTGACTTCGTTCGTTGATTCGTTAGATATTGCCGCCACATTTTCTGTGGCAAAGCAAAATCTGAGTCATTGGTTCAAGAGGTTATTGGTATATCCTGGCGCGGCAAATGTTTTAGCTCGTACACCGATTTCTTCGTAGTGTCTGTGGTGGTCTGTGAGCAGTGTTGCCAGAGAAAGTCCCCTAAAAATCTTAATTTTTTCCAAAAAATCTTCAAAATAAGATTTTATAGCTTAAAAAAATCTTTTCGATCCCAAAAAATCTTCATTTAAAAATACCTTAAAAGAAATTCGATATTGGCTTTACGGCTGCAAATAGCCCTTATTATGTTGGTTGAAAAAATTACCAATTTCAAGTTATAAAGTCCTTTTTATAGCAACTTAAACTTAAAATGAATATTGCCTCGCGTCTTCACAAAATGTGTAGCACAGTTTACATATGCATATATACACTGGCGAAAATATAAATAGCGACGCGACATTTTGTAAGTTTTGACCGACTTCAAAAAATGAAGAGTTTATCAATTCGTGTGAATATTTTTTTTTATGTATATATGTTACCGCATAACTTTGGACCACTTGAACTGATTTCGATAATTCCTTTTTATCGGTTTAGATCCGGTCATTGGATCATGAAGAAATTGACGATCAATATTTATACATATGAGATTTGAAGTCACTTGTGTTTTTTGTTTAAAAATTACTTGCTCTTTTTTTATGAAAGAATAGCTCGTTATCTAACAAAAACCATGTAAGTCCAAACTTCAATCTTTGTACAAAAGTTAAGAAAATTCGACAAAGTTCCATAACAATTTTGAGCTTTTTAATTCGATTTTTTATTGATATTTTTACATGGATAATATTTTATAAAGCTATATATATGTTTCACTGTGCGAGAGAAGAAGGCAGATAATATTGTAGGGGATTTCATGGTTAATTTTTCTTCTTCCTTCATTTGCTGCTTACAATGATGTAGCAAGGATAATATAAATAAGTTAACAATTTTAACTTAAACTTTAAAAACTTTACATCATACACAAAAATCTTCATTATGAAGATATTTTCAGTGTAAAATTTTGCTTTTTAAAAAAATCTTTTTTTGAAGATTTTTAATGAAAAAAACAGGCCGAAAAATCTTCATTTTCAAGATAAATCTTGATTTATGGCAACGCTGTCTGTGAGGTCTGTGGTGGTTTGTAGGATCTGTGGCGGTGATGGTGACGGTGACGTTGGTTGATAGTTGGCTGTATTGGTTGTTGTCACAGCTGTTTATTAGCCATATGCAATCCCTGACGTTGACATTCTCTGTGTGTGCTATGTTGTGATTGCACTCAATGTTAAGCCTTGCGGGTGGTCAATGGCAATAGGAACGAAATCGGCATTTTGTTGGTGTTTGCTGTATGAATGCTAGAGAATGATAAAGAGAAGCAAAAGAAAGAATTAATAGAAGGGAGGGAAGTAACTCTGCTTGAAAATTGTATGATGAAAAATTGAAGAAATCTATCAAAAAAAAAAAAGATTGATTTCACGACGATTAAATTAAGTTAATACATTTCACCCAGACGCCATATTTGGTTTTGCGGGAATAACAAATTCAGACACCGCGGCATGTGGTCAATTCCGTTTCGTGTTGTAGAATATGGGTTAAAAATCAACAAAGAATGGGTGCGCCACGGATTTTATCCATTTTTGTTATCTTCAAAGGCAGACTGACAAGGTTTTTGACACGAAAGGCTTCATAGTACCGTATATTCGGTTTATAGAAACTTCATCCCTTTCCTCGTTATTTCAACTCTAGCCGACAGCATTATTTTTTTATTCGGTGCTGGAAGGCTTCTTACGATAAGTCCTGCTCTTCAGGGCCAACTGCCCAAGCACCCTTCCGAAGCCCAAAAGTATACCCAGAAAGCCCTTCAATCAAGCCAAGAGAACAGGGGTTTGGCAACTTTACATGAAGCACTCAAGATTTTCCAGAAGGTCATAAAGAGCGCGAAACGCAAGTCTTGGAAAAACTTCTGCAAAACACAGAACAAAACTCTGAAGCAAATGGGCTGTGAAAACTTCTGTCGAAAAGTTCTTAAGGTACGAACTCTATCCAGAAGCATAGCGATGATTGGACAAAGTAAAAGGTGTTTTTTTACGAAAGGAGGAGAGGGCCGGTCATGTGAAACTGAAAGAATTCGGGGCTATATATTTATAAAAAAATGACAATATCTCCTCGAACCGCACACGCATATTCCAAGAGCAAATCATGTGGAGATCGCACTTTATGTAATCATATCGGCGTTGAAAAAGTATTGGTCACAAGGGAATAAAGTTTTACCCTATATCGCGAGCGCCTTCAATAATGTCTACCCGAGACCTGTTGTTAACACCTTTCTTAGGGCCGGGTGCAGCGGGCACTGGTGCATTTTGTTGGGCCCCTTATCGAAAAGAGCCCTATTCAATCAGAAATAGGGAACGGTTTCATCGACCAGCTCACTCAGTCTTGTAAATATCTGGTTCAAGGGATTTGTACTTAGCGTCAATCGTCGGAGATTGTACTCTTCACGAGGAAGTATACAATTCCTTTATTCAAACCTCCGTTCGTAAAATAGTTTGGATCTATTCCAGACAGGAAACTTGAATGGAAGGCCAATACCGCCTTGTATGCCTGTAAGATGGCTATATAGGCAAAAAATGGGACAGCCACAAAGAGTCCACTGGATGTACAACGCGGTGGTAAGCTCCATCCTCTTCTACGGCGTTAAAAAGGGCTTTATCCAGAGCCCAGGTGCAACGGGTACAGTGGACGGCTTCCATTCTTGTCAAAGGTGCATAACCTACTCCACCCACTAAATCTCTGGAGGTAATGTTAAAAAATCTAACGAAACAACGTCCAAAGTAACTAAATAATGCAAAAGAATTCTCAACCTGCTAGCATAAAAAAGCTCCTTGACTGTTGTTGGGTCTCTGAGCACCCGGATATTTCTGGCAACTGCATAGCCGACGAGATAGCAGGGAGATGGACGGAAATATCCGACATAAATTCTGCTTAAGGTGTGGGCAAATACAGATTAAAGGCTGAACACATTGCGAAAATAAATAAAAGGTGGACTGTGGAACCCATCCGCCATACTACTAGGCAAATAGCCCAAAAATTGATGGAAAGCGATCTATAGCGTTCACTCGGTTCTTCTCTCAGATTAGTAGTCCCGCCATCACCGGGAGCCATCGAGTTGAGGGGGTGTAAAAGCCAACTAAATTCTTATTTAATCCCATTCCATTACCAAACTCCATTCTTCCATATGCGGCCGAAACTTGATCTAATTGTAAATGCATTAATGCAGTTTTTGTGGATATATCCAGTGATCAACCACACAAAGTGAGCGCTCATCATATCGATGAAATTACTTCTGAATATCATTGTAACAAGGGAAAGAATAACAAAACGACAAGACAAGCAAGGAAAGCAAAGACAAGTTGCGCAGACTACAAAAAAAGGAAACTTAAGGAAATTGATTCAAAAGCCACTTTTAACCGGTATTAAACAGCAGTTGTACAAAAATGCCCAATTAAATTTATCAGCTCAAGTTTTGCTTAAAGCTACTGACTACAATTAATTTTCCAGTAAGTAAAATTTGTTCATGAAAGCCATAAAGAAAGCATAAATAATTGAGTTTTTATTGTTGCTTTACAACAAATATATCAATTGTATGAATGTTGTACATATAAATATGTATGTATATGGGGTATTCCATACCAAAACGCACGGGGTTCACACTTCATGTGTTTGATTTGTTTAAAATTTTTAGGGTTGATGCATATACATAAATAATAAATAAATATGAAATTTGAGCTTGATTAATTCATTTTTAAAAACTTTATAGCACAAAACCACAAACAAATCGATTTAATAGTTTTCCAAATATCTCGAGAACGGGGCGAGGAAATAATTTAAAAAAAAATCACACATACACACATCCATACTCTCTATGATAAAAAGCATTTTTAAAATTTTTTTCTTGACAAATTTTTCACATACAAATTTTTTGATAAAAAAAAATTTTTTGGAAATATGCCATCTCAAAAAAA